AACTGAATGAAATTGAACTCGAAAGCCTTAGTCTTCTTCTCGACTTAAAGACCCTGGCTTGATGTTTGACTGAAGGGTAATTCCTTCTTGTTACCATGCGGCCAATGTACCCTTAAAGTTAAGTGGAATCGAACTTAAGAGCTCTTGTTTGACGAATAACTCTCCTCGCCTCGAGCCCTGTCAAAATTAGTTTAGGCCTTCTTCTAGACTTGAAGACCTTATTTTGGGTTTTGACCGAGAAGTAGTTCATCGTTGTGACCACATGGTCACTATGCCTTCGAGCTGAGTGGAATCGAACTTGGAAGCTTTTGCTCGACAAATAGCTCTTCTCGCCTTAAGTTATGTTGAATTTTGACTAGAAAGTGGTTTCTTTTTGCCAAATCATTGTCAACCTTGGTCTTCTTCTTGGTTTAAAGACCTCGATTTATCGGAAGGTAATTCATTGGGCTGCAATTACCATAAGAGCTTGCATCGTGTCCTCATGTATAACAATAAACTTGTTCTTATTGTTAGGAAGAGATCTCGTACTGAACAAACTTTTCTTGCCATCATAGGCGAAATTCTTTCCAACCAACTCATTGTTGTAGGTCTGTTGCACTTCCCGGGCGACCATCTTCATTGTAAAGAGAGACATTGTAATGGAAGAAGTAACCATCCGTACTGCCCATATTCACTTTGAAATGATTAATTAGAATTGTTATATTTTGTCCCTTTGATCCAGTATCACGTCTGGCCATGGATTGTAATGCTACCATCTTCTTCGCAGCGTCAGGCTCTACTTTGATAAAAAAAAAACACATCATGAGGCACATGAGATAGAGGGAGAAGAGATTAGGATGCCCCACTTTATCTCACGTTCTTCAAGTGAATCTTCGAGAAAAATGTCTTGTTTGAGAAATGCCTTGAAAAGTTTGATGTAAAAATGATGTCAACGTAATTGAAGCAGAATATCATTTCACTGAATATTAAATAAACAAATCAGACATGTTAATTTCAAAAATTATAGCCCTTTGACAAATGTCAAGATCCATTGGTGATTTGGGAAGGTAATGTGATCAGGTTTTGTCTTATCAGGACTTCATGGTTTTTTAATGTTTTTATGAATAGGAAGTGGACAAAATAACGTAATTGCTACACTTCATTGCAAAACTTCTTAGAGAGTATTTCTATTTCAGTTATAAAGAATCTTTCATTTATTCAAGTTTCATAGACTCCTTAAGCACATATAATGTAGAAATATCAATTTAAAAGCAAAATTCATGAGTGTTTTTGTGTAGTCGACTATAACAGATATTTCTTGACTCTCTTAGTCCACATTTCATTGAAACTCGTTATCAGTCGACATTTACTTTAGGCATTACCTTCTTTCTTTAAATTATACCTTGTAAACTTTTATGTCCTCGCTTTAGATTTTCTGGGAGATTCATCTCGACACATGGAGACTAGTGTCATGATTTGAATGTAATCGTATTCATAAAGATATGACAATTGACATGGCCCATTACTTTAGCAGAATACCCTTAATTAAAGGAATCAAGCATTAGAAAGTCTTCGACTTGAAAAAATCAAACGAAACTCACTTCATAAAGCTCATACATTACCTCCATAGATGCTTCATATATTACCTCCGAATATTAACATCCTACTACTTTCAGCGGAGTGCCCCCAACATTGTTAAAATTATCATTCATTAATATCACATTAATTCTTGAGTTTTTGATTTCAAGATTTTCTAAGCTCGTCAAGAAGAATTTGTTATAGTCTGAGTGTATGTGAAAGTCAAGAAATTTCATCCTTAGAGCTTAATTTTCAAGCAACTTATCTAAACCAAATTCTCTATTCCACCATTCCATTTGTGAAAATTGTATATCATCACGGAACATCCTTAATAGATATGCAAACTAACCAGTCTTGCAATGTCATGCATCGAGGATGCCCCATCTTGTCTACTTTCATACTTATCTGAATATCTTATGGTTTCATTGTGTGAGAGAAATGTTTCTTTTTTTAGGGGGTCAATGATGAATGAACCTTGTCTTTTTGGGAATTTGATCTCGTCATATGTCAAAAGGCTATAACCTCAATTCCAAAATATGCATTTCATTATATATGATATTCAATGAATTTCAGGAATGCTTCATTTCTCTAAAAAAATGACATTTATTGAAAAAGAGTCCTGACATAAAAAGGCAGATTCAAACAATACATGTTATGGTCTAGACAACACAACTCCATGATTTCTTCTTGTCTCATCCCTGGATGCCCCATTCAATTTGTACCATATTTCTTAATCAAATCTTGAATTATCACTCTGCTAGTAACCAGCTTCTTGATTTCCTCCATGAGTGATATAACTTTTCCAGTGGGGTGATCGGCTACCCCCATGTGAAAGTCACATGTGATGTTTGGTTCATAACCATAGGCAGTAGGGCTAGTTAAAACTCTTGACGGTTTAAGAATAAGATATCAACCCTTAATCAGATGTGGAAACAAAGCTGGGATAGGCACTTGAAACATCTCAAGGGTCGTGTTTACCCAAGACATCTTTCGCTGTGAATGCTTGCAAAGAGTGATTTTCTCTTCTAGTTTTATCTCCTCCATATTACTTATGATGTGACCCACCACCTGATTGATCTTCGTGACGAGCTGACCTTTGGCCTGCATATTCATCATGCTTGTTAACTCATTGATTCATCTTGGAACCACTTCAATTGATCGTTAATTTCTCATTGAGTTTTGGCCAAATTTTCTTGAGGCCTCTCTATTTTATTGCTATGTGATATTATCTCGTTCATGGAATGCATGGGATGCTACTGAAATGAAATCTCCTAAGAATTAATCACAATGGCTATATGATAAATGCATGTGGAATAATTAATGCAATTAAAATGCAAATATACAAGATGCAAAAGACGAGGTACTGATCCCTAAAGTGTCTGCCATAATGAATAATCTTCATTAGGACAAAAGTGTTATTACATTTAGGGCCAAAAACATTTAAATGTACACTTTGCTAGACTCTAGAAATCTTCTAATAGATCGAAAAGTCTCCACGCTTTATTGGTTGGATGTCATACATTAATGCCTATCCGTCAAATTCTACAATGGTCGGTGGACTTGCCCCAGGAACTCCAGGATAATTGCTTTACTTTCGTTAGGTTCATTCCCTACTATGGTTCTCCATCGTAAGAACTATCTAAAGCTTACTTGCTTTTCTTGTGTCTTCCCATAACACTGTGTTTTTTCGGGACTCCGTGTTCGATGCTTCCTTCTGCATTTAAAAAGATTTCATCACTTTGTTTAACTCGATCTTCTCATAGTCTTTTCTAGTTTGAAAACTAGTGTATTTCTCGGTAATGGACTTCGTGTTATCGATCGTGCTAAAAAGATTTCATCATTTTGTTTAACTCGATCTTCTCGTAGTCTTTTCTAGTTTGAAAACTTGTGTATTTCTCGGTAATGGACTTCGTGTTATCGATCGTGCTTCAAAACTGTGTTAGAGTTATAACACTTCCTCTCGTGCTTTCGCTTGCCCCACATGCTTTACAGCTCTTGGACGTCGTTCTGCTGGATTGAAGCGTAATCATCTAACGTAGCCACATTACAATTTGTCTCTTTATTCGAGCCTTCTTAGAACACAATCATGCCCCTACGTTTTTATCCCCTTGCTTCACAACCCCCTTTGTTTATTTTTTTTTGTTTTAAAATCATATCTAACGTTTATTTTTTTTGTTTTGTTTTAGTATCTTACCGTTAAAAACTTAAAGAAATTATTATACGTGACACTTTTTTTTTATGGATAACTTATATCATTTATCGCTCAATTGTCTTTTTACTCATATTTTGGTCATTGAAGTTTAATTTTTTAATTAATTATTTAACTTTTAAATTACTCTTAATTTAATCACTCTAACTTTCAATTTTATTTTTATTGAATTACATATTAATTAAATAATAAAAATGACAAGCCATAATAATTATTAATAAAATAAATTAGATGGATTAAAATAAGAACAATATGAAAGGTGAATAGTTAATTGAAAATTTTTAGATTTTAGTAACCAAGACAAGAGTAAGAAGATAGTTGAGTGATGATTAATTTAATTTTGAATGATGATTAATTTAATTTACCCATAAAATGAAAGGTACTAAAATGAAACAAAAAGTAAATGTTAAATATGATTTTAAAACAATTAAAAATTTTAGTACTATAGAAAAAAATGATAATTTAAGTATTAAATATAAAATTTATCATATTTTCTATTGTACCCTCCGATTACCCTGTATTGTCAGCGAAATGTCACCTAAAAACATTAATATCATATTTAATAGGGTAAAGTATATGAATAGTCATCCGAGTATAGGATATTTTTGTGTTAAGTCTCTTAACTATCGAAAGTTATAAAATAGTCTTTCGACTGTAAAGTGTTGCTTTGTTGAGTCTCTCGGCTATTAAAATTTACAAAAAGTCATTCAACTATTCATATATTTTAAACTCATATTTTTTGCTAAAAAATTGACAATGGACTGAGCTGGAAGTTAACTTGTAGACTGAAATAGAATAAAATTTTATTATAGAATCTCAAACAACTATACAACTGAAACTATTCCAATATTAGATTTTATAATATCTTAATAAGCATATTAGCGTCTAACTTAGACGATTGACAGTTTTTAATAAAAAATAATGAGTTTGTAATATATGAATACCCGAGTGACTTTTATAACTTTTAATAATCAATGTATTTAACAAATCAACGCCCTATAATAAAAGAATCATTTTATAAATTTTAACAATTGAGAGACTTAATAAGTAGAGTCTTATTATCGTGACCATTTATATACTTTACACTATTTAATATAACTCTTTTTTTTTTAAAAAAAAGATTGCTGATTCAAATAGAATTCACCCATAGTTAAGTGGTCAAGAGTGTAGTTAGCCAAAACATTTTAGACAACAGCCATAAACCCGCGCGTATAGGGCGCGTAACAGTACATTCTCTCGACAGTGACGCTGCGCTTGCTTCTTTGCTTAAACCATTGCTTCGATCTTACTCACTCAACTTTCACCTCAAATTCGCAGATCTACTCTCTCGCAACTGTTTAGGTCCGAACACTGATCTCCAATTTCCTAGCCATGGATCTCGCATATCGAATATCCATCTTTCTTCTATTATCAACCGCGTTAACGACGATCAATGCTTCGATCCACATTTACAAAAATCAACTCTTCAGCGAAGTTGGAAATGCTTATCTTCTTTCAGGTGGCAGTGAAGGCCTCGCCGCCTCCCTTTCCTCCGACAACTCCGTTTCCGATGGCCGCTCTTTCATTCGGTAACGTTGACGAAACATTTCCTTATTTTAAAAAATGTGATTCGTTTGTTTTATTTTTAAACACAATGTATTAGAACTTTAAGTGAAGAACATGGCGTTGTTTTGTTTATATGGATTAGATCTGCTAGAAACTAGTTATTATTTAGGTGTACTTATGATGATCGACGGACGAAATAATTTTGAAAAATAAGAAATGCAATTTTTCAGTTATTTTCTAGTATTTTTTGACGAAACATTTCCTCCGTTAAGTCTGCTTCCGATGTCCGCTCTTTCATTGGTAGTATTAACGTGACATTTCCTTTATCTAAAATATGTGAATCGTTTGCTTTATTTTAAGTTCAATTTGTTTAAGTAGTTAATGCTCAAGCCTTGAGGTGTATCTATGATGATCTATGGAAGATCTAATTCTGAAAAATCAAGAAATGTATTTTTCACCTTTTTACTATTTATTAGTTGCATATTTGAGTGAAAATGGTTATTTGAGCAGATCCAAGTCCATGTTACCAAGAATGCAAATAGATTTGATTTAAGGAACAAAAAGTAGACATAAATCGATACTCGTGTGAAATGTAATTGATAAGGGTTAGTCCTCACCGGTTTGTTTAATAGGAATGAAGTGTGATTTATTATAAGTATAACGTTTTTTTGGAGCTTATTACTTATGCATACAGTTTTTATGTTTAAATAAATAAATTATGAAGTTTATGAGTTGTTTATTTTATTCAATAATTTTATAATAAATTATATGTCGATGGTATGTAGTCTTATTGAAATGGATCGTTAGTGTTCCTTCATTGAATTTTTGAGAACCTACTTGAAAATTGTTAGGGAGATAGCGATTTCTGGTACCAGAGATCTGAGATTTATATGTCATTATCATTTGTAAAAATATATAATGAATGCTGTTTTTTCAATATCTTATTAGGCCATGGATTAAAATAGTTATGACTATTCATAAGTAAACCAGTTTCTTGGTGCTGGATTAAGCATTTCCACCTCCATTTTTTTTTTAATTCACTTCCAAAATTTTATGCCTTGAATGTATTTTTCTTATACATAGATTTGAGAATATCACATTCTGGAGGACTCAGGCTGCTGCAGATGGCCATTCCAACGAGGAACATAGTTCTGGGTTGATTCAAGCGGTGATTTTTGAGGCTGCTGATAGAAATAATATAGGTGGTTCAGCTTATGGTGGACAGAGATCGATATGTTGTACCCCTGATCTTGCTAAGCTGGAAGGGTGCAAGCAAGGTGAAGTCATTCGGATACCTTCTGCAACAGATAGTAATTGGCCTATTGTTTTGAGCGTACATTTTGGTGGGAACTATTTATCAACTAGTATGGACAAAACCGAAGTTCCCATCATGAAAATGGGGATGTATAATTTGCTTTTCATAGCATGTGATCCAAAACTCAATGGAACAACAATGAGTGGGAAGACGGTGTGGAAGAACCCTGATGGTTATTTACCAGGGAGAATGGCACCATTGATGAAGTTTTATGTTTACATGACGATTGCCTATTTGTTGCTTAGTGCCATTTGGTTCTCACAGTATGTGAGGTTTTGGAAAGATATCCTGCTACTTCAGCACTGCATCACTGCTGTCATTGGTCTGGGTTTGTTTGAAATGATATTGTGGTATCTTGACTATTCTAATTTTAACAGCTCAGGAATGAGGCCTGTTGTACTTACAAGTTGGGTCGTGACTGTTGGAGCAATAAGAAAAACACTTGCTCGACTCCTCATACTTTCTGTTTCTATGGGCTATGGTGTTGTACGCCCAACTTTAGGTGGCCTTACATCAAAGGTGCTTCTTCTTGGAGCGACTTATTTTTTGGCATCTGAATTGCTGGACATTACTGAATATGTAGGGACCATTAATGACGTATCAGGAAGAGCAAGACTCTTCCTAGTCCTTCCTGATGCATTCCTGGATGCATTTTTGATATTGTGGATTTTTACATCTCTTTCGAAAACACTAGAGCAGTTACAGGTACTTTGTTCTTTTTCTTTTTCTCACTATGCTTTAGTGATTGATGATCTTAAGTTTCTTGACCGTAATAGCTGTGCTCATTCATTATCATGATATATTTCCCCTCACTTTGCTCTTTCATACTGTACAAATTTCAATGGCTGACATTAGTTTTTCATCCAGGTAAAAAGAATATCAGCAAAGTTGGACCTCTATAGGAAATTCTCAAATGCACTAGCTATGGCGGTGATTGCTTCAGTTGGATGGATAAGTTTTGAGGTATATTTCGTCTAGATTCTGGTTTCTTTCTTGGTTGATATTTCATGTTATATTGTCGCAGATAAATGACAAATATTTGTGTTTAAGTGAAATAATACGACGAAGACATTTATTGTACTTAAAACAGGCATTTGGTCCTTAGTAATATACCAATGGGTTCAATTTATCACGGACCTGACCTATTTGGCGGTACAGGTATACTTCAAAGCAACAGATCCATTCAATGAGAGGTGGCAAAGTGCTTGGATCATCACAGCTTTCTGGGACATTCTTTCATTTGCACTACTCTGTGTTATTTGCTACCTTTGGGCTCCATCTCAGAGCTCTCAAAGGTGCATATTACTCTTTCTAAGCTTTACAGAGTCGATTGGATGACCTTAACTGTTATTTTCCTCTCATTTGCAATTTGAAAATTCTTAAATCGTATGTCGCCTGAGGTTTTGACATGCTGGAGAGAGCTCAGTTTGACCACAAGGAGAGTGCTTTTAGAAGCTTCATTCTAAAAGAGGCCGGGTCTTAAATTCCCCATGTTATTATGCTAATATGCTTGTTACTGCCGACTTTGCTCAGATATGCATACTCGGGAGATGTCGGGGAAGAATTCGATGATGAAGAAGCTCAATCTCTAACAAGGGGGCAGTCCGATGGGGATGTCAGTTTAGTCAAGCAAGAGAGGAATAATGGAAATGCCGGTGTCTCTGATCATGAAGACGGCACGGAAGAGGATAAGAGGGAGTAAAATACCCCAGTCCAACATGATTTTAGTCATCAACCTTGTTCCGCATTGTCGAAACCACCTTGACGGGAGGATAACATATATACTCGGAGCAACGGTTCTTCGAATCAAATTGCAAAAGGGAACCAATCTTGTTGCAGAAGGTTGATCTTTGTCTAATTTAGATTTGTTGTCAGTTTGTCCATATTAATTTTGATTACATGATGTAGGGGAATAGGCAATTTCCATGCCATTTCTATGATGAGAAACCTTACGGTTTTGATATGCTTTTGATGGTTCCACGAATTGGATTTATGTTTTTCTTTTTTAATAATTAAAACTACCATGTAACTTTAAAATGCAAATCGGAGGTTGTGTGTGTGTGTGTGTGTTTTACATTATATTATTGCTTGGGAGATGGGGTATTGGAACTCGAAATTTTGTTGTTGCACGATTTCTTCGAAGCACAATCTTGACTCGGTCATTTAGAGGTAGCATGCAACTTATTTATCATGAAGGAAATACTGTTGTAGATCGAATGACGTTATACGATGACTGCACTAGTTTCTATGTTCGTTCCTATGTTTATAAACGAATCGAACGTTTAGTAAACCGTTTGTAAATTGTACGATAAGAAGTTCGTTTATTTATTAAACGAATAAACTTGAACAAAATTTTATGTTCGTTTAAATTAATTAATGAGCACGAATAAATGTCTCGTTCGTTCATTTACGTTCGTGAGCGTTCGGTAATTTGATTGTTTAAGTTTGTTTATTTATATTCAGCCAAATTTTTAGACTAGTTTGAAATATTAAGACCTAATAATTTTAACCTTAAACCCATTAATATTTTAAAATCCAAATAAATAATACAAAATATCTATTAAATAAAAATATAAATCATAAAATTATTTGGAAAGAAAAAAACTCTTCTCAAATAAAAATTCAATTAATTTAATGTAAGCTTGTTTATGTTCATTCGTTTATGTTCGTTTATCATTTTAATAAACAAACACGAACAAATTATATTTCTTAATGAATGAACACGAACAATAAATTTTGTTCGTTCAGTTGTTCGTATAGTTTGTTTAATTAAAATTAAAATAAAAAATATGAACATACTTTTATTCATATTCATTTTGTTTATTTACATATGTATTTATTTCTCAATCCTCAAACGACATAAAAAGACGTGGGCATTCTCATTAGTCAACTTATTAGAATTAATTATATTAAAGTAAATTATACCAGTGACCACCCAATTATAGTATCTTTTCATTTTACCATCATTTTTAAATTCTTGTCAATTATACCATCAAACTATTTAAATGTATTCAATTAGGTCGCTAGCCGTTAAAAGATAACATAAGTGTTGATGTGACAGTTAATAAAACTGATAAAATTATACATTTTGTCCTCAATACATTCTTTCAATTTAGTCATTATTTTAATTCAATTTAATAATTTAATCTTCAATTAGGTTGTCACTATTATATTGGATGAAATTTTATTAATTTTAATTGGTTAGTTCATCATTCAGCATGTTCGTTTCACACCTCTGAATGATTCAGTGTTGATTGATTCAGTAAAACAGTGCTAAATGATTCAGTACAGAAATACATTCTGAATGATTCAGAGCCATTATCAAACAGCATATTACATTCAGAGCTAATTCATACAGAGTCTCTGAATCATTCAGCATTTGAATCATTCAGCGCTTAATCATTCTGAAGTAATATATCAACCCCTAAGCCCTATAATCGCTGTTGCTTTACAATATTTCATATGTTATCTTTCCAACTGAAGACAAGAAAACAAACTAAAAGGAAAAAAGAAATTGTAACGAATCAAAACTAATAAGTCTTCGGTGAGTATGGGATCACTCGTACAAAGCAAAGCATCAATACTCATATTTGAACTATATTTTACGACATATTTTATTTAGTTTCTATTATAAGGAAAATAATAAAATGAATCAAACCTTGGTTTTTTAGAGAGTATATAAATACCAAAACTATTTTAGCAAATTTAATTAATATTTTATAAATATATACATTTTATATATTTTTTTAAAAATATATTTAATATTTTGAAAATAATTTTGAAAATTAAAAAATTAATTTCACCAAATCTTGAATTCAAATTTTAAACTATATTTATTTTTATATAACCAAAGTAAAATTTTTATTTTGTTTCAATTTATCGTATCATGCTTTTTCTCTTCTCTTATTTTCTTAAAAAATTTCAATAATTTTATTTTTATAATACGTTTTTTCTTTATTTTTATAGTACGTTTTCTTCTATTAAATGTCATTATTACTAGCACGAATTAATCAATCAAGAAAATTTTTATTTTTTGAGGTCCCGGATTTAAGCACTACGAAAATATGAATGACAATCAAATGATTAACAGTTATTATTAAACATATGTTTGATCTTGTACTTACCCCCATTTTAATTAGGCTTAATACTAAAATAAGCGTCCAAACTATACCTAAAAACTTGAATTGGTGCCTAAACCATTTTTTAACCCATCCAGGTGTTTAAAGTTACAAACGTTACCAATTTAAGTGTTCGATTCATCAATGACGTTAATTTCCCCATTAAGCGACACATGTCACAATCTGGTGATTTTGAAATTTATTTTTAAAAAAAATGTTAGGTTATCCCCCTTTCTGGCCACAACTGCCATCGTCAATGTAGTTTCTGTCATCCTCCTAGTCATGCGTCGTCGTAGTTACCGTCGAGATCACGTGGGATCGCGATTTTCATTATAGGATTAGTGGGGTATAAAACGTCGATTTGTCGTCGATCGGTCAAGATTTATAGGGGGTTTGGTCGTCGGGGAGATGAGGTCGGGTAGAGCTTCGTTAACGGTAAAGGGCGGTGGCCGAAGTGGGTTTAAGAATTGAAATGAAGGTTTTCAAAGTTTTTGGGTTATTTCAAAATGTTTATGTTTTTCTTTAAAAATATATATAATTTTAGTTTTTTTTTTTAATTTTAAATATATTTTTTAAAACCACCAAATTGTAACACGCGCCGAGAAAATTAACTTCATTGACGGCTCAAATACTTAAACGAGTAACGTTTCTGGATAGGTCAAAAAATAATTTAAACACGTATTCAAGATTTTAATTTGGTATTAAGCCTTTTAATTAAAAAATGTCATTATCACTCATCTACCAAAGTTTCAACGGAGCGTGTCCTTCAGACGCTATCTTGTTCTCAAATCCACCGCGTATTTATGTTTAAATGACCCGTGAATCGCACTACCATTTTCATGTCGCGTGAAACTCCTTTCCACCGAATATTCTAAATTTCGAATTCGTTGGTTCGCTACAAAGCTTTTGGCATTGGCGCTTATTATTTACCACTTCTCTTCTTTTTTCTTTTTCAATCCCTCGATTTCGTGGCCTAACAAAACCCTAAATTTCTCTCCCCCAATTCACTCCTCTTCTCCCCGGTATGCTCTTTCCTGATGAATCTTCGTTCCTTATTTATTATTATTTATTTTGAACCTTTTGATTTTTTATTTTTTGTAGTACTATGTATGTAAAATTGTAGTGTTTCATGTTCTTTTTCTACTGTTTAATCGGTTAATTAACTATACTGCTAACGTGAAACTATTGCCAAACCACGTTCTTTGGATCCTTAAATTCTATAAACTCTGGAGGTTTTGGCTATCTCCAACTAACCCATTATCTTGATCTAGATTTCTGCACCCTTTTTTCAAACAGGTGAGAATCTTTCAAATTCTCCCTTTTAATTTGTGAACGTTGACGTCATCTTTTGCTTGTCCATTGGTTGGAATTGTTCTTTTGCGATTTCTATTGTTAGGGATGACCTAATTCACTTGTATAGTGGAACATGGATGTTCATTGTTTCCGGGGTCTCCATATCTGTAGTTCTTCTTTTAGCTGGGTCTATGTCTATTAGTATGTTAATGGCATTGCTTGTTTGTTATTAGGCTTGATTTTTGGGTGTTATTATAATTTAAACTAAAATATCATATCATTGATGGATTGCTCTCTAGGTATGTCATGGATTTAATCAAGGATAACCCTAAACCTTGAATAACCCAAGCATCTCATTACTCTTTCTCTTTTTCTCTAAGGATTATGTGCATTTGTTTTTGATATTAGACTTGTCGTTAATGGTAAGTTTCCATGATGAAACTTTGGTTTAGACATATGTTATGGTAGAAGAAGAAGAGAGAAGAGGAAGCATCGAAGAAGAGAGACGAGGAAGCAGGAGCAATTGGGAAAGGGGGATCGAGGGTTAGGGATTGAAGATAGGATTGGGAATTAAATCACACGTGAGATGCACAGGAAACTTACACAGCAGAGGAGCAGGCCTGGAAGGGAATGGCGTGATGGAGCAGCCCAACACGAAGGCCCAGTATCTGATAAAAAATAGAAAGAGAAGAATCATTCTGTTAGATGGTTGTTATGACAATGGACAGCTGGCAGGAATTCTATGGCTTATGTAATTAAATAATACTAGGCTTGATTGTAAAAAGTTTTCTTAGAAAATGAATGATGCAAACTTCTTCTGAAATCTCTCAATTCTTCTTCTAAAACCTATTTTCTTTCGACATTCTTCTCTACAAAAATCCAGTCTATAACAAATTGGTATTCAGAGCCTCGATTCTGGCATGCCAAAGAAGAATCAAACTATGGCTGAAGCTGATTTATCAGGGTTGCAAAAGCAGATTGAAGAATTAACTGCTTTAGTTAAACAAGGACGGGATGAAACCAATCCACCCAAATGGTGGGAAAATCAAGAGAATCGAATCAATGCATTGGAGTCTAGAATGGAAACGAATCAGGGCTATGTGGAAGAGCTATTGAAGATATTGACAGGTAGAACTGGTGACCAAGTGCAATCTGTGGGTGAGCAGGTACAATCTCCTGATACTTCTAAAAATAAGGAAAAGACTCCTGTTATGGTGACTGTGCTGAATGACAAATCTAGGTTTACTTATAAAACTGATGAACCTGGGATATTAAAGTCTAAACCTGATGATTGTCTAGCCATTAAGAACAGTTATAGGCCTGAGAATCAAATGGGTGAAAATAGTGATTCTAGACCTATTATAGTGGGACTAGAAGCTGAAAAAAAGGGGCCAGGGAGTTCATTTAGTTCTGGGGTTATGTGGAATAGACCTAAAATAGAACTTCCTTTCTTTGAAGGGGTTAATCCGAGAGGGTGGGTGCAGAAGTGCCTGAAATACTTTTCTATTTGTGGGGTTCCTGTTGAGCAGAGAGTGGAACTAGCTACAATGTATTTAACAGGCAAGCAGAAGTTTGGTTTGATGGTTAC